ACTGCAAGTTCTTGGTTCGATTACCCATATCGCATTCATACACGATCCTGTTAATCTTTTAGGGATTCCGGAAATCATCTACGGGCTTTATCAGGTACGTTCTAGTCATTATTGTGGAACGTTAGCCTATTGCCACCTTTTCCAATCGATAAAATTTATATTGTTACCTCTAAGCAGTGTTGTGCATGCAAGAGAACATTCAAAATTGCCCGGCAAGAGTAATATATAAGGCAGTGTCCATACTTGGAGAGTCCGCGAATTGGGAGATAGCGCGGTTAAATAGCATCGGCGACAAAGGGCGTGTCGATTTAGAGCAGCCGCGGCTTCGAAAAAGGCACAGACAGAGGGAATGCGCGTGGCGGCGGGCTGGCGGCGCTCCAAACCTTTCATGACACGCCCCGTCATCCGCAACGAACAAAACGGTAGGAATCTGTCGCATCCGCCTGCTAGCGCATTCCGCGTTTCCCGGGATCGCAGAGTCTCTGAGAACAGCAAACCAGTCGATTTTTTTCCATCGATTCCTCTATCGTTCGCTCTGCTGGATCTCGAACTATCTATATCTATACTTTGGTTAGCGCATATTCTGTTCTCCCCTAATTCTCCACATCTACACAATATGTACGCGGTCTTATATATAAAAAAGCCGCAAGGAGACAGTAATAACGTTTTTCAGCAAATGCTCACGTCGTGGCGTGAGAACTCACGGGGGATTTTGTCGATGTTCACAGCTGAACAAGCGCCACCACCCTTGATTGCTAGCAATATGTATGGAGTGTCTCCATGGGCCACATATCTCCTTCTTCTTGTGGAAAGCAAGAGTTATCCAGTGTTTTATCAACATTTATACGAAACTCTGGTGAAGAAAGATAAGACCACTGTAGAACAAGCCGCGAAGGTGAGCTTTATCGTTTCTATGATTGCTTACTTTTGCTTGCAAGTAACGTCTAGGTGATCTAGTGTTATCTAGAAAGCAGCGTCGAAGTCATCCATCCTCCTACCTCTACCCAGGATTGCTGTGTACAGATGGGCTGAATTCATTCCAATTTGCAAAGACAGCACTGTATTTCCTCTAGCTGTGCAACGCCTGGCCACTGAGAGTTACCGACTGAAAACTGTGAATGGGTAAGGCTGATGGTACTTCTCATTTCTTACGGTGTGTGATTACTGATATATGGTAAGCAGCTTGCAGGAGGAAGTACTCTTTTGCGCGTCGCTTCATGGACTCCACAGCAGCTGAGTCGGTCCTTATTCCGTGCAGAAAAGTGCTAACTGAAGCGGATGATCCAAAAGGGTAAGTGTTACGAATCATTTCTCGCAACTGCCAATCACGATGGTGGAAGAGGGTGAGGGTGTAGGTGCAGGATGGAATAATGAGTAAATGACAGCGGTTCTAAATTGAAGACGAGCTGTACATGCCTTCGAAGACGGCCATTTCCATGTGCCGGGTGAGTTGTCACAGATGCACAGATGCAATGAAGTGCGAAGGAAAGGGGTTGAAGGGTGTTGGCACCCAGGTAGCGTCCCCTGATTCGCTGTTGTGCGTATGTGCAGCACCGAAATGTTGTTCTTCCGAAATGCCGCAGAGAACACGCAGTCAGAGTTAGAGAACAACCATATGTGAGAGGATGTAGACAAGTAGCGTGTTTGGCTATGGTTGGTTTTGTGGCTGGCCGTGCGATAGCGCGTTGTAGAGGCAACAGTCGGGCACCAGTATCCTTACGCCCCGTACCGTGCTTCTGAGCGAAGAAATTAGCACGTTTTTGCAGCTGAGGACCCATTAACCTCGCACGAGGCACGGAACAGGATTCACGGAAGCGAGTGTACAATTTGTTTCTGAAGATTATAGAATACAGAGGTTGCGTATTCGTAGCAGCTGGGTGGCTATAAGAAAAAGTATAGCACGTGACCTTTTCTACTATTGCAAACGTGCTTGCGCCACGCCCTCAATCTTTGTAAGCAGTTGTGCATTCTTCCAAAGATCTTTAGAACACATAATGACAGTTTAATATTTACCGTGCCTCCTCTAGGTTAATCTAGCATCATATGACTAACCGGGAGGAAATCTAGCTCGGATCACTGGGTCACTGGACTATAAAAGGACGGGGAGTAGTACCTCTAACCCCGCTGCCTTTTCAACCCGGTAGGCCTCCATTCACCGAAATATGGAAAATACAGAGAGACTTCTGTACTGGAACTGTGGCAAGGTTTTTGAGTCTGACCATATCAGGCTTGGATTGATAAGCGGATTTTTAAGCCTCGCCAAAGCAGTGAATGGCTGGCTGTTCTGCTCACATGAAGTCACTCGCAAGGGATTCGATTTCTCGGTCTTCGATTTGGATTACCTCTTGCAGCTTATCCTGGCCGATGACAAGGTTTGCTTCAATGCTTGGTAATATTCCTCTATTATCAAGAAATAATTCGTTTCAAGAACATTTGGCTAGATTTTGTCGACAGAAACAAGTTGACGGCAGAAAAGAACACACAGGAAGGAAAAGGTTAGCCGGTGAACAGGTTTTCTAAGAAGACTATCCGCACAGGCACCTCATGCACTTTGCCTGCCACATTGGCGTGTTTCTTCAAAGGACTGGTGAACCAATGAGAAATGCAAATTGGTTGACTGTCTCCGCCTACACGGTCAAGTGCCGTGCTTTCCTGCACACGTTTAAGTTCAGTGATGTCCTAGCAGTGTAGTTAGTAACATCTAAAGTGATTTTGTCATTTAGTTATTTTCGCTGACATGCCATTTGGGACCAAGAGATCCTTCTCAGCACATATCTGATCATTTCTTGAACAAGTAAGTTAGTAGAGGGCATATTTTCACATTATTTTTGTGACGGCTTCTACAGCAGTAAGCTTATTCTGTCATTCAGTCAAAATCGCAGACAAATTTTTGAATTATCATATGAAATCAAATTACCAGCTTCATGATCTGATATCAATCTGATGACTTTTATTTACTTTGCGAAACAGAGATACATATTTATAGGCCAAGAAACTCGAGAGCGATTGGTTTTCCTGTACTGCCTGCTCACCGTAGCTTACCGCCTGCACCAGTTGTTGATATGAGTGCAATATTTCATGTGAATACTATTATGGAAATGATAAATCCACTCATCAAACATATCCGTACAATATCGGAGTAAGTTTGGAAATGTTAACAAGTTGTACAGCAGCTTGGGATACGTTACGTGATGAGCGGATGGGCACACAGAGCTTCCGTACTTTCCATATCGACACATGTCCCTCCCTCAGATACGGTAAAGGGCTACTGTGTCAAGGGTCGTAGTAAAATGGGACGGTTGACCTCGTTAATGACTTGTCGCACGATACGATTCGAGGCATAATTAAGGAGGTGCGAAGGGACCTCATTAAGCTGAGGCAGGTCAGCCGAGGCACGCACGAGCGTATCAAGAGTGGTTCAAATCAAGTGAAAGCTCTCAATAGATTGAAATACGTGAGGATCTTCCAAAGGGAATGGTGGGAAATGAGGAAATGGCGCAGGAGGATCTTTTTTCAAATCTTTTTCTTCGTTTACCAATTAACGAGACAAGTATTATCTTCAGATTCAACGAGCTTTATCAGCAGGGAGTATCCAGTGCCCAAATAGAGTCCTACTGCAAAAAGATGTCCCAATTTGTTACAAACAAAACAATAAGATTATCACAAGAATGCTGAGTTGTGGGCAAAAGTCGTGCCCCAGGCGGAGTCGAACCCGCACCTCACGCTTTCCGGGCGAGTGCGCTATCCGTTACGCCACCAGGGCCGCTTTTACCCTCTCAGCTTAACGGCTTTTATGCCGTAGCCTATCAGCACTCACACGTTGCGGGTTCGACTCCCGCCTGGGGCACGACTTTTGCCCACAACTCAGCATTCTTGTGATAACTTTCGCAACGCGTACTGCGGCGTAAAACAGCAGTTATCAAACAAAAACTATGAGATACATGTCTTATTCGATTTTGCCCTCACTTATTTTTGTTGAATGTGTGTAATAGTAATGAATACACAATAATAATAGTGAACTAATGAATGAGCTGAACATATAGCAAACCCTTTTACCCACTTGAAGTTTTCGCATGAATTTTATGCCATGAATTTGAACAGCTTAATAACTTCTCCTCTTACAGAGCAACCGCAGCGTTATTAGCGGCGACCGATTCCTCGGCTTAATGAGATCGCTTCGCACCTCGTTAATTATGCCTCGAATCGTAGGTGCGACAAGTCATTAACGAGGGGTCAATCGTCCCAATTTCCACCTACCCCTTGTCAATGAGGAAGCTAGGATAGTTGTGAGTCCCCGCTATTAACATTATCGCGGACTGGTGCCTCTAGATGAACTAATGTCTCCTTTTGTTTGTTTCGCAACGAAAACTTCCGCGAATATAAAATATTTTATTTAGGGACTACGTAGTCGGCGGCGAAAACATGGCTAGTGAAGATGCAAAGTATGTCGACCTCGTAACGAAGCTCCATACGGGCGTCATGCAACAAATACCGGTGCAATTGCGATGTGGGAATTCGCTGCACAAATCCTTACAATACTGAGCTCAGGTAGGAACTTTCTAGGCAAGTTTGTTGTTGCCATTAATACTCACAGTAGCACGAGTATAAGCAGGATGTGATCTTATGTGTTTCCACAAAAGTACTTCCACAAGTGTGTTTGCGATCTTGCTCAGAAGACAGAGCTGGTGCAGAGGCAAAATGGACGCTGCCAGCACGCATGCTGTCCCGGGGTCTGATCACACCCCGATCAACCAAACCTTTCTCTCGAAGCTACTTACGGTACCACACTCACCCATGTGCATAGAAATTCTGACTTGGACATCTCCTGGTCCTACAAGCCTGTTCTGTAGCCTACTCTTGCTCTCAGAAGCCACTGCGATCCTGAATGGAAGTAGAATGCGTAGCGCATCCCAAGAGGAATTAACTGACGCCGAAAATTTCGTCCTTTTCACTGCATAGTTACGGGTATTGAAAGCAGGACACGTCGTATGTTGAGGAATCCTGAGTGAGTGAAGGTTTTTAGTCGCTGCAAGGGGGAGTTCTGAGAAAATTTCTTTTGATAGCTGATTTTTCCTGTTTCACGGTTTCACGGACGATTCGCACCGTCACCCACCTTAGTAAGTGTGATTTCAGAACTACTATACGACTGATGTTTCGATAGCTGAAACTAGTAGGATGGGTGAAAGAGGAGGGGGTCGTAGCATATGAGAAATATTGAGTGGGGGTCGTATGTAAAGAAAATTTTCTCCCGCGGCAGGACGTCCATGACCATAATCCTTATTATAGGTCACTACTACGAAGTTCAACGAAGCGGCTGATGCTCAAATGGCTCAGAGTCGCGAGAAACGGAATACCATTCTTGGGGAATTGCACACAGGTGTGCTGGATCGAACAGCGATAGCATCGGCGACAATGGAACACATAGCAAGGTTACTTTCGCACTTTCATCCACATTTTCTGGTCTACAGTTCATAAACGGCTTCAGATGATCCATTGACTAGCATTACTGTTGCAGGCAGCTCGCTCGGCTGAGCGTTCTCTGCTCTCCTTCGCATCGAGGTGGTGCGCAGATGTCTGGAAGAGCTATGCTGAAGACTGTAACGTCGTCTGTAACTGGAACGGAAATGCTATTCCCTGCCGCTTCGGCGGCATATGAAAATACATTACGAGTGCTAGCTGAAGTGAGTGAACATTGGGAATTTGGTTTCAGACGAATTAGGCGCAGGTGTCGATGAGCTGGGTTATTCAGAGGTGACATGTCATTGAAGTGCTATCTGATGAAAAATGAAGACAAACTGTTCAGTCACCTCCACGTATCCTGGTTCTTGCCATGTGTGAGGTGAATGGGTTCGCAGCTGCATTAGCGTGCCCCTTTTTTCCGCTCAAAATGCATGGGAACCAGGTTGGAGGGTGATGATAGCCGGGTGTCGTCTCCCGACTCCACCCGCCCTGTCGTACGGT